CCATCATCCATCCATCCATCCATCCATCCATCCATCCATCCATCCATCCATCCATCCATCCATCCATCCATCCATCCATCCATCCATCCATCCATCCATCCATCCATCCATCCATCCATCCATCCATCCATCCATCCATCCATCCATCCATCCATCCATCCATCCATCCATCCATCCATCTATCTGTTAATATATATTTGAGTAGGTGAATTCATCACCAGAATCACTTTTAAAACCGTTCCTGGGCGGGGTGTTTCTATAACTACATGCTGCACTCTCTTCGAATGCAATGCTATAAATATTTGAGAAGCTGACTCCCACAACTGCGCAGGCAGGCTTAAACTAATTGGTTATACAGGCAGGACAAGCTGGGACTCAAATCACATCCTAGAATTTCAGATGCCCTTCTCTATGATAAGGACGGATAAATTGTTAGGCAGGTGGATGAGAAATCAAATTATAGCAGGATCTACATAAAATCTTTCGTCCACTTAATAATTATTGTTGCTGTGTTTGATGAGATACCTCCAAGGGCTCTGTGTGCTAGAAATTGTTGAAGCAACTCCTTTGAAAGCAACAATACGCTGTTAATATTATAAACTTACTTGCAATTTTGTCGTCGAACAGGACAGTAAACATCCCATAAGTATAGGCAGTATCCGTTATTAATACTACTTATTTGTTAAAATAGATAATAAACTTTCAACCTACACGGATATGTACCCCATTCTCTGGTTGGGAAGTGCTGAGATTGTGGGTAATCCGATGTTGAGATTAAACAAATTAGTATGTTTACTGATTATCAGTTTGATCAGTCTGGAAGTAGGCTTACAAACTGCCAATAGAAGAGTTGATAAATTACTGATGTAGTTGACATGATGCGAATATCGGAAATGGGTGCAATTAAAACAAATATAATCCTGTTACGTAGCTCCTCTCTTCTCCTGACTGTTGTCTCACCATTCCTCCTGAACACACTTTGACTTTAGCCAACACAAGGAAGAAGGCTGATTTAAAACTACTCATGAAGTGAGATCGAAGGCCATGCAGTGACGGATTCACACAACAGTTGTGTATCTCCTCAAGTGTAAGGACTTCTCCAGTCGTGTTGTTCGTGTGGACTGTAATACAGGATTTCGTTGGCTTAGCATTGCCCGGGGCTGATTACTATTCCAGGGGACTGTATATCTTTCCTCTTCGTCAATTCATTTCCTTTCCATCATTTTCCAGCCCGTTTGAGTAAGTCCTAATCTTTTTTAAACCTTGTGGAAAGGGCTCACCTCTGTACCTCCCCCCTCCCCCAAAACAGACAAATCAAGGTAGACTACAAAAGCGGATCTCCGAGGAATATTTTGAATTCGGTCAAATCTGGTCTCATTTATCACTGATTTGAGGATAGAATAGGGCGCTTGCCAAAATTTGACACTGCTTAAACCGCCGTTGACTAGGCCATCCAACTTGGAAATCTCTTTGGCCCTTCCCCCCTTCCCCATGTGAGATTTTGGCAGTCGGAGAAATACGGATGATAGTTCACCTGGAGAGAAACGATTATGGTTACCACAATTTTGGCGCCCTGGCCATCCCCAATGGCTCCATTGGGTCTGTTATCAAACCTAGGGGAACAGGACATCTTCCTATTTGAGACAAGTGCAAACTCATTGTTGATACAAGTTAAATCAGATTTGTCAAGAAGACGATCTTAAATCACATCCACCAGATTCAAGCCACATTTTTCTATGAGGCGAATTCGAAATAACTGGAAGATGGTATAAAACCACAGTAAGAAGTACCACACCGATAAATTAACGAAGTTTTTTGGGCTTTGTTATGTATGTAGACAATCGCAAGCATTTTCCAAGTGCCTATAAGTTACAATGACGAATTGTACCAAGCTATACTGAAAACCGGAGTAACTGTTATTCATTACCAGGTGTTGGAGTTCCGATTGCTTGTTTCGGCCAGATAAGTGTTAACTGCACTTTCTCTACTACTGTCTCCAACAGTTTTTTTACCAATGCATGATTAGGGATAAGTTGTCGAAGCGACTGCACGAATTGGTGTCAAGCCCTGTAAATTGACAGTCGACAAAAAATAAGCTTGCATAAGTGGTAGACCAAATGTGGTGATTGTGAAACGAACAACTACCTCCACAAACGATTCACTCACCATTCAATCCACACTTCCATGGTGTTTACCATTTCATCGCCACAAAGTAGGAAGTGTGTTACTTGCTGAAGGCTACGCGAAAGAGTTGTGGCAGAGATCTACCGATTGGATGACTTTTTACTCTGTAAAACCAACCAGCACTGGTGAATCAAGAGGTAACACAACACAGCACATGACCTCATGCTGCACACACCTGAAAACCAAACTGTGAGAATATTTGGACTTTAGGATTGAGGGAAAGGGCACTGCCTTAAAAGATGCTGCTCATTCTTACCATTTTCAACCTCCTGATAAGTCTCCAAGTGATTATTATCTCCTTTTCTTGGGATATGATAGTCACACAAATACATGCGAAGCAGAGTTGACAGATGGAAAAGCAAAGTGAGCTAGAGATGGTCACGTTCCAGAGACAAAACGTGCTTTGTAAGTTTCTTCGGCATTAGGAAAAGCATTTGAATTGCATCATGCTAATTATTTCAGTGAATAAAGGAACCAGCTCATTTTGGAACGCAGCAAATCCGGATGTTAAAACTGCAGTCAACCAAGAATTGCACGCTTTAAATATAGGTTATACTACTAATTAGGTTCCTGTATTAGAATTAGCTACCAAAATGGTACAATATTTTCTTTTATAAGCGGCTTCTTTTAATGTGTCATTTGTTCTACCGCAAAATTAGATTTGGTTGTTTCGGGCAAAACTCGCTTGCCATCGTTCCAGTCGTACGGGATACGGGATAAAGTTGCAAAACCTTAAAATGATTATCTCATTTTATCCTCAAAGATAACAGGGAATAAAGTCAACTCCAATCACCGCCATTGATTTATAGGGAGATTGTGAAAGTGTCGCTGGAATTAAATTTTGTGTTTACAGTACCGATGTATCACTTTGTTATAGGTTATTTTGGCCTTTTTGTCGCTCCTTGAGGAGAACAAAACGGTTTTTCTGTCAGAGGAGCACGACTAATGAGTCATGACGGTCCCATTTCAGCAGTAGTACAGGCTTGCACATTCCCATAACTATTAAAGCTTCAATGGTCAACTGACTAAGGAGGATCAAGTCTGCAACTCAGTGATTCCATAGAAATAGTGACGCCATCTGGCATCATAGGTCAATCCAACTGGATGATGTGGTCACAGATGGAGCCGCTGATTAGGAAATCGGGTTTAAGTCTGAGGAAGTCATGCAGGTCCCCCAAATGCCGCTGCTCGAATTGGAGGTAGGAAAGTTCGCGGGTCACTTTGAAGTAAATCACCCTCTTAGATGAATCGATTCAACATTAAATCAATTTTACGGCCTAGAATACTGTTGCATTTGGCTCCAGACAAGTCTTGCGGCAACAGCGATACCCCCATCGCGCTCTCCTTCGACATAGCCTCCCTCCCCATCTCCATCAATACAAAATCTTCCCCACCCTCCTCCTCGAAACCTGTCAACTTCTCCAATAGCTCATCACTCGTCTTCAGCCGTTTACATTCAAATTTTTGGAACACTGCATACCAGACGCAGCACCTCAAATTCCCCCAACTCAAGATTCAATTGCTCGCATGAGACGCTCCACAAACGAGGGTAACAGTGAAGACAAAACCGAAATAATTCACCCGTTCGTTCGGCACATCGCTGATCAGACGTTCGAGTCCTATTCCAGCAGGTGTCAACTCTATCCGTCACATAACAGAAGGATAGCTCAAGGGAATACAAAGTTCACATGCATTACTTTTCATTGCGCTTAACACCGGCAACATCACGGTCATTATCTGTACATAAACGACGATAAGAAGGTGCGTCTCAGCAGTCACGTCGTGTCGCGTCGCGTGTGTTGAGGAGGGGACGGGGGGAATAAGTATTGGAGGAAGAAAGAACGAGATTACAAAGTGAATGACTGTGCAACGAAGGGGGGAGGGAGGGGGCGAAGAAGAGCGAGAACGAAAGAAATGAAAAGAAAACCAGGAGAAGGGCAATTAGGCGACGCGACACCACACAATGATTGTCATGCTGTACAAAGGGGAGAAGGTCAAAAGGCGAGAGAGAGAGAGCAAGGATCACGAGTCCGTCGTCATGACAGTGGCTGCGGAACCTCCCACACTGCTCGCACCACCACCACCACCTTCTATCGTCGAGTCAGAAAACTTTCCTCCCACTTCCGAGGAAGTGGATGCCGAAAGGGGGTGATTCTGATCCAGGTGATCAACAGACTCGGGGTTAGAAAGGAGTTTGGGCGATGCGGAACCGTCGAAATCTTCAGAGAGGGTGGGGAACTTCGGAATTGAGTCATTGGTTGTTGGTGGTGGTAGTGGTAGCGGCGGCTGCGGCGGTGGTTGCTGCTGTTGTGAGACGAGAACATATGCGTGACCCATTTCTACGAATGAGGCAGAATAGATAAATTGCGAGGTGTGAAGAGAACACGATATGGGTAGCCTGAATTCATGCCAACCCGTTGCGCGCTTGAATATGCTCTCAGAATCATGCCTTCGTGCAAAATATACGGCCTTCTCTGTTAGCAATGTGATCACAATTACAGAACGCGATCTTCCAAGTGATGTGAAAATAATATACTTACAAGGTGGACGGTGGTTGAGGAAGGGAAACAAATCGCTAAAAAATGTTGGTGATTTTTTACCAAACCAGATACCAGCTATCAGAAACAGTTCAGAAGGGCGCAAAAGGCACTGGGGATGTGCATTTCGGAAGAGAGATTGGAGCAGATTAAATAAATTCCACATTCAAATCAATAAAAACGAAAACGTGACGTGGCACGTAAATTGAGGCTAAACATCGATGAAATTCATTAAAAGCTGCCTTTCATTAAGCGTCTCAGAGGTCAAACTACTCGAAAACGCGAGAAGGGCGATCAACTGAATCGGTGGCTTCAATGGTCAAGCATAAGTCGAACCACTGGCCGGAAATACAAGAGTCACCAAAACGCCTTCATAAACAAAGCGAAAGGAGTGGGAAAAATACATTTCAATTGGACACCGATGTCAATGAGAAAGCAAGGTGTTTCATTTAATGGGTGGTAAGATGTAACCACGATTAGGGGGAGGAGTAGACCTTAAGTAAGAAGCATTTTACGGACACGCATGCACGAGCGTAGAAACAGGCAGGGCAGCAAGGAGTGTGGGTGACGCACCATTTAAGAAACGGTGTTTTTGGCCATCGCAAGTGGTGTGTGACTAACCTCTACAATGTGTGTGCGCGTATCACCGAATACGCACATGCAATTAAACACCGTGGTTATGGGCACATACAAGTACACACACCTGTGGGGCGAAGACAATGGGCAATTCGCTGATGCCGACAGGAAGCTTGAGGTTTTTGGCTGCAGGAACACAGGTGACATACGCATCGTTAAATGACTCGGAGTTAGCTCACCTAACCGAGCAGACTGATGATTTATGAAGGAATCGAGACACCAGACACAATTTGAGCAGCATTTTAGAGACGCAATCTCAATCAGAAGAACCGTCAAAACGGAATGTCTGGATGGCAATACAGAGCGTCCCTGTTCATTAATAGGTGGCATTCCACACCTTGTTTTCCAATTTTTGAAATGATTGTCTGCGTGAAATTCACTGCAAAATTTGCATCAAAATTGATAACAAGAGTGACCGCGGAACAGAAGACCGGCAGAACAAGACGGACCGCACGATATCATGTCGAGTGAAACACGAAGGTCTTGAAATGGAGAGGTACTATAAAACGTGAAAGTTGGTGGAAGCAGGAGCAGGAATAAGAGCCACGTGTAACCCAGATGACGCGCTCACACATGCACACATTTGAGCGATTAATGGAATATAAGATACCGTCAGATGCTGGTGAAGCTCATGCTTGTAGGAAATTCAATAACAATGCTATCCTATACACTGCCGGTGTTAATGGACATCTCATCCAAGCACTCTTGGAAGCCCGTTGCATTATGAATGCGACTAGCGTGAATTAGACGGGATGGGTCGTGACGGCTTTGGATCTTTCAATTTACTGCATCTCAGTGTGGTGTTTCCAGAGTAAGGCGAAAAAAGTTTAACGAATTCGCTGAGAGCACAAGACTCTGGAATCGTAAAGTGAATCAAACCCTCGTCGATCAGAAACAGATCAGGATGTTTGGCCTGTGGGGATTAAATTTACTTAAACAAAACATTAAGGCAAGAGAGCAACTTGAAAATGGATACGAGGCTAAAAACTGAAGAGAAGCAAAGCCGTAAAGTAATAAAGCTCTCAGACCTACACACACAAACTAAAAAGGAGACAAAGCCAGGCGGGTTCATACCGAGCAGAAGCAGCAGCAGCACCGGGACTAGCACAGAAAACAAAAATGAAAGAAAGCGAAGCAAGCTCAAGTAGGTAGGCGGATAGGGAGAGGTAGTTCGGGCACGCACGCACGCACGCACGCACGCACACAATTCGTACCAAAAAGTGGCACAATAGGGGAGAGGACCGAGAATGGTGCGGCGCCCATCCCCACAGGATCTACTGAACCGGCACTGTTGAGACCGAGGCATCACCACCAGCACCACCTTTTGAGAACAGGGAGATAGGGGATGTGAATTCAAGAGAAAGGGATGCATACTCCGCTTTATGTCCGATCGCGAAAAAGCAAAGACCGAGGCGACTACGAACCTTGACAAGAAGAGGGCGCGGGCATAACAACGCCAGATCCGTTGGGAGCTGGGTGGGAGGAGGCGGAGAGAGCGTTTGGTAGCATGGAGCCACACGAGGAGGAGGTAGTGCTTGAGGAAGCAGTGGAAGTGGGAACAGTCTCACTGCTGCCTGAGAAACCGTTCGGATTCGGTGTCTCCGACCGGCCTATCGATCCTGGACCAGAACCTAATGAATAGAGGAGTGGAAATCAGAAACTCAATACATCAAGAGAAAAAGGTATTCGCCTATATGCCTACCGTCGGATAGCTGTTGCCCCGAAACACTGGCAGGCTGTAGTCTAGGGGTAGGAGCTCTGCCTCCACTATTGACCGCTATAGAATCGAAATGTGAGGTCAAAGGAGGTGGGAATTGAAGGGAACCAGTGACAGAGACGCCAGGACTGCTGAGAGTGGGACTCTTTTGGCCCTGGAAAGCAACTGGACCATTCTGTTGCTGTTGCAGATTGGGAGGAGGAGTAACACCTTCAGGAGGTGGAGGGAAGGTGGGTGGAAGACCCGCGGTGTTCAGAGATGATGCACTGCTAGCGCGAGGGGGCTGCTGACCCATTCCACCACCACTTCCGACAACACCTCCAGGCTCGGAGTCTGCTAGGCTTGGTGGAGGGGCAAACATCATGGGTGCGTTGCCTGGAGACGAAAAAAAATAATGACGTTTAAGTTGAAAAAATGAAATATAATTGATCGTAATCGTAGCGTTTTCTTAAAACAATAATTTGGGTCATGAAAACGTGGCGCAAACAACGATCTGGATAACGTAAAAACACCGATAGTACAACATGATTTAATTGAATTAAATATCCTACAGTTCGATGGCTTTCGTTTTGCGATCTACCGTTTCTCCTCCTATTCCAATAAAAATAGTTCAAGTTCTATCAAAGCCAAGATTGTTCATACATACAGGGAATAATTATGACCATGACCGTGAACTTAGATCAAACACCGTACGTAGTTCGGGGACATACCTAAATTTGGCCCACCTGGTCCGAGAGGCGTAGAGGGATTGCCCATACCAACGGGGCCCATCGGAGACAGGATTCGGCCGCCACCAACACCAGCGTGAGGCGGGGGAACGCTGGCGGGCATTATCGGACCACCGCTGCCTGGAGGACCGCCACCCCCACCGTAGGGCATCGACGGTGGTGGTTGTGGCGGCACGCTATTGGGATGGCCATAGAGTGGCGATTGGTGCGGTTTTATTGAGGGTGAAGAGGAAGGTGGCTGTTGCAGTGGTGGCGGTGCGTAGGGTAGTCCGGGCGCATACATCATCGGTGAGGAGGACTGAGCCCCTCCGCCCGGAGGAAAAGGAGGTGGAAATGAGGGTGGACGACTGAAGGGTGACATACCAGAGGTTGTAGTGGGATGGTGATGGTGCTGCTGCTGTTGTTGGGGGGGCATCCCTCCGCCCATTGCGTTCAACTGTTGTTGCTGCTGTTGGGCGGCGAGGGCCACAGCAGCTGCCGCCGGATCGTACTGGCTGTTCTCCAAACGTGTGATCATTCGCTCATCATCCTCCCCAAACTCACCGCCCATTAATGTTGGCTCACCCACGATCAGTATGTCCTACATAATGCGTATAAAATTGGTTCCAATGATCACAACTTATGCGTAAAAGTTTCACAATTATTACATTACCCTGTATAACCAGTCATAGTTGCAATAACTGTGAGACGATTACACAAATAGAGGCAATGACGGACACATCAGAGTAGCATTTTGGGACTAAAGGCTTCAACCAATGGTCGATAAGCAGGATTATAAAACCGGCAGAAATATAAACAGGGGTCTAACGACAACCGAGATAAACTTACTCCAGGTTGAGCAAGGCTCTGCGGAGGCAGCGGCACAGGCGACTGTTTACGCTTCGTGGCTCGACCGCCGCCAGTTTCTGAGTTGGCAGACGAGCCTTTCCGTTTTCGCCTTTTGTTCGTTTGTCGGTTAGACTCTGTCGGGATAAAAACAAAGTGTTTAGCGATTACCCTAAGAAAAAGTGCATCAGCGCAGAAAAAATTGCGCTAGTTTTCAAATAGTTTTGAAAAACCCCGCTTCACTGGTGATGAAGAGATGAGTATGACTTAAAAATCGACGATCATTCTTGCCCCAAAGTCAACTGTTTTGTCAAACCTTATGCCTCAGCTTCGATGGAATAAAAGAATGAAAGTCTCCTTCAAATTAGTTCAGATAAAAAAGTCAGAAATTTATTAGTAAATTATCGTACCGGCCTTTGTGGGTTGATTTGGGATAGCTGTCATCCGTTTCCACCGGTTCATAACGATGTTGCGAAGGCAATCACGAGGAGGAATATTTTGAAATTTCTGCCGAGACATCAACTCTTGCATGGGCTCGAGAATAACACATAGACGAAGGAAATGGAGAGTATTGGCCAGAATACCCGACCTGGTAACATTTTTTGAAACCTGTTCGAATACCATTGGATCCTGAACTCCGAGCACGGATCGAATTATCAGCTCTCGATGGGACCGAATTTGGAAAGTCCAATTACGAATCCGCATAAGCTCATCCAGAGTGAATCCCAGAGTGAACTGAGCCTCCACAAAGACAGTCGTTGGAAAGGGTCGAGTCATATTCATGACCATACTGGCGCAATCCGACTCCAGTGTTAGTATGGAATTGTGAAAGGACTCCCGAGTGTGGCGCAAGTTAAAGAAGAGCTCGGTGCAACCGCTCTCAAATATACTACGAAAGTAGCGCGGGATGAGGGTTCGGCCAATGTCTAAAAAGCAAATCATTAAAAGAAAACGCAAAAATGCTTACTAAAATGCTTTGGACCATCCTCCAGTCGCACAGTGATTGTAATTGTCGCATCGTCATCAAAAAAGTCTGTTGCAAAGGCCTCCCACCACTGGCTATCGCTTTCCTAATGGAACAAATAGAGGCGAGGACACAATCTTACGTCTGCTCGTTGTTGCAGCCTCTTATTCAGCTCGTAGATTCGGTACTCCGGTTGGAATCCACCGCGATGTCTGAAAAAAAAATGAAAGATGAAGCAGATACCGGACCCTTAGCACGTTCGCAACCCTGAAATCGAACACAACAGTCCAAACTTTACTGTTCAAATATAGCATCTATTTTTACCATTTTACAGTCGATTCAATTACCTAACTAAAAAATTTAGCAATCCTGTGGCCATGAACATTCATTCGATGTCTAGGCATTTTAGGTCCGCCCAATCTTTTTGAGACACGAATTGGCGCAACTATCATAAACTGATAAAAAACGCATGTCACATACGATGAAGCTGATAGTGGGAGGGGTAAAAACGAGACAATGTAACTTACATTGGCAGGGGGGCATGAACGGGATGGTGAAGATGGTGCGGGTGATTGTGCGCGGGCATTGGTCCCGGTGGCATTTGCTGATGCGGTGGCATCGGAGGAACCCCCATAGCGCCGGGCTGTGGCGGAGGAGGCCCATGATGATGTTGAATCATGGGACCGCCAAGTTGTGGTTGCTGTCCGGGTGGCATCTGCGGGATGCCATGATCGGGTCTGTCCGGACCGCCAGGCATAGGACCACCGGGCGGAAGAGGTCCATGAGGTGCGTAGTGAATACCTGGGAGACCACTAGGAACTCCTCCACCAGAGGCGCCTACCGGAAGCATCATAGGTCCTGGGTGCATCTGGGCGTGTGGCGGTGGTGGACCAAGATGGCTGGGATGCTGGGGCGCCGCGGACATCGACATAACGGCAGACTGCATTCGACAAGTGGGATTTCCACCCGGAGGAGGACCAGTGAGGGGCGAGGTGGGCCCCCGAGGAGGCATGGAGAAAGGAGCAAAGTTGGGTTCCAGTTTGAAGGTATTCTAGGTCGAAAATTCAAAAAGGAGTCGTAGGCAACCTAATCAGCGTGGACAGTCCGTTAAACACAAGGATGAGGGAACCAAATGAGGTAAACTTAAATAACGCAGTGCAGTTGTTGGAAGCTGCAAATGTCAGGGCATAAGGGCATCCCGGGTACAATTATTATTTCAGTTTATTTGCACAGGTTATGTAAAAGGCTAAAAAATGGCTTCAGATATCCGTAAATCCACGTTGTACCGAAAAACAATACAGGGAAGGCGGAAGGAAAGGCTAAAAGCAAACGTCAGAATTGAATTGCGTTGACATCTAATAGAACAAAAAAAGAAAAGCGCACACAATCATGCACCAATTGCAGACAATCAAAGGAAAAACTTAACAGCATTAGCATGGAAAACGAATAAACGGAGCCAAAATATCAAATCAAAATCGCCGTACCCAAGCTTCAAAATGGACGCAGGAATTTGAAACTGCGACAAGATCATCCAGCCTTTGTAAAATTCAAACAATTCTTTATGAATGAAGCTCGATGAATCAGAAACGAATATTTCTTGCAAAAGAAGAACATGGCGACTTTTATGCTGTTGATTGCACTGGAACTCAAATAACCATTAATTCTTTAGGGGACCATCAGTTGACCGAAGGCCGTTTTGGGATGATATAAGTTTCAAAAAAAGTCTAACAAGTAAACCATAAATGCATTTTTTGAGTATACTAATGCTTTGCAAGTTTTTATAAACGGTACCACAATAATAACTAAAATGCGGGTTTCTTCAGCTTACAATGTGGGGTCCGAGTGAAAATACAGTTTAAGTGTAACTCACAGTCTCATGTATCTGTGCATTTGTCACATCTCAATATCTATATCTTCCTTATCACGGCCGGTGCTTTAAATCCACTAGCAAATATGAGACGATAGTTGTGAATTTCCTTATACTCAAGATCATACACAATTTTAACATTTTTGGTGCTCTTGTGTAGATTTTTACCGTGTTTTTTAAGTTAGTATTACTTTTTAAGTGCAGTGG